AAACCAACGCTTACACTGTGTTCCGCAGCATTCAACAATGTCAGCGCGCCGCCTCGACAGCTCGTGCAAAATGCTTTGAGCTTCAGTGCCACTTTCCAAACTGATATCTAGTCGCATGATGGGCTCAATCAACCGCGCGCCTGCAGCTTCAATAGCTTCTGTGACGCATTTATGAGCGCAAGCAGATACTAAATGAAACAGATTCAGTTGCAGAATGCATAATGACCAGCTTACTAACTTTTCGTCTCTATTTCAAAATTGCTTTTCTAATATTAGAATCTCAAGTTTCCTCTAACAAAAGTATTCAGCAAAGTGTTTGTGCCTCTGATGAGCAATTTTCAGTCGTTCAGTTTCTGCAATATCAATCTTCTCGGGTAACTTTTTCAAATTGAGCGCGCAGAAAGCATGGGATACTTACTTAACAATAAAAAATGATTTTGTTTGAGAAACTGAATAAATGTGAAGTGTTATTGACTCATGCCGGAAAAAAAGTGTTCCAATTTTTCAAACAAAAATGATACTAGCAATATACAGACTATAGTTTCCACAAACAAGACGGAACTCAAAAGGACACTGCACAATCTCTATCAGCGATAATATTGACAGGAATATCAAAGTGTAAGCTAAAGTCCCGATATAAGTTTTAAACTTATCAAGTCCAAGGAACACTACTTACGAACTGCAGGATTGACACGTCCTCCACTGGTAGTAATTCCTTTCAATTTGATCACCACATCTTGTATAGGAAAACCCAGAACAGGACCATTGTGAAGTGCATTTCCACAACCTTCGTTTATTGCCTTGAGCCAATCACTACGAATGGAGGTAGCATCGGGTGGCAGTTCCACTTGCACCTATAGCATAAAGTTCAAACAATACAAATCAGAAGTGATGCCACAGTCTGTGACCACTTATGACATATAGAAAACAGAGATCCGGATGAAACAAACCGATTTGAATTTGCCACTCTTCGGAGCTGGCTCCAAGCAAAGCGTTAGATTGGCGCTATGAATTCTCTTTTTATCGTCTACAATATCTTGCACCGTTCGCGTCAAAGTTATTGGATGACTTATGATCTCGCGATAAGCAATCTGAAATTTGAAAAAAAAATCACATATGATAGCAAAGGATTTTGTAAAATAGTCTTTTTTGACTGTTCGACCATTTTCAAAAGAAATAGAAAACAATAAGGTAACAAAGTCTAGGTTACCTGGAGAGGCCCAATAAACACATTAAGACCATAGTCGCGTACGAGACGACACTTCACAATATCCATGTGAAGCTCCCCCATTGTTTCCACCACTGTCTGTCCTGTTTCGTGATCAAAACGAACCCTTAGAGAAGGGTCCTTAAGATGAAAATTAGGAACTCAAGAATATACTAACCCTAATTTATGAAACGTCTGTTTACCTCTAGCGCAATTTCTTTCAGTGCCTTTTCAAATTCATAATTTGATTTTGATGTCGGTGG